ATGTGAATTTGTTCCTTACGATCCAAATATTTAGAGATCCATTTATGTTATTTCGGTTTCGTCATCTTACCTTGGCCATTAAGGAAATCCTGAAGCATCTTAACCTTCACGCGCAGGTGGAACAAGTAGTCGATGTTGTTCAGTGGGATTTTATAGTTGTTCCAGACGTAGTTGAATGGATTATATAATGTCCCTGCCACTCGGGATGTGTTTCTTTCTACATTGACGATCTCTACGCTGACAACATTGGTGTCACCTGCAAGTAAAAAAAACGATCACGAACTGAGACATGTGTTGTTCACATTTCTGGAACTTTGTATTCATAATGATCCTTTATAACTTCAGGAAATAGCGTGTCATTAGCATTTCCTTCCTCCATGTGACTGAATTATCTGTTACCTTTAATCCTGATAATTCCGTCATTGATTAACCCAGAACGGCACAACAGAACAAGACAATACTGAGCAAACACCAACTTACTATTACTCTGGAGACTGTTCATGAAGACAGAGAAGCAGTAGGTATTATCAGTCGGTGTGATGTCGTTGCTTACAAGTTCAGCAGAACAGGTGGAGCCAAAAGCACATTGCTTTAAGTCAAAGGATATATAGTGGCCTGAAATAAAAGATGAGAGGTTAGCTTCTAACAAAAGAATACATATTTATCAGTCATAAGTATATGCTGAGGGGTTAGAGTGAGTGCCTTTCTGTTATAGATTATAAGAAAGACAATTCCGTTACGGTATAATCAATACATGACCAGTAGTCCATTATCTCTCATAAATGGAAATCACTTACAGTAAATCGAAAGTCGCCTTTTATAACCATAACAATAGCAAAACATACCTTCTGTTTTAAAAAAGGGAACACGTACAATCCCCAACAACAACTCTCTTTCAACCAGCGAATAAAAACACTACCTTCTCCGCTGTTAGTCGTGTGGTCAACTAAAACGCCGTCGCTGGCTTCCTCTGCCTTCAGCCACTCCCAGCTGTTCCCCTGCGAGTCCGGAACATCCACCCATCCACACAGTCCGGACTCGAAGTCACAGGTTCCTGGTGGTTTACAGGGTCCTCTCACTACGCTCAGATCGTCCCAGGCCATGTGTCCTGCTGTGCCAGTTAGTCTCAAGCCTTCTAGTATAACCTGTCAAAGTAGGGATATAAGTGTGTGTCTGTGATGTGAGGTATTGAGGGCTTTTATATTATGCCTGGCGTTACTCGTTTACTATTAATACTTTTCTAAAAAAAACTGCTTTTCGTATCACATCGTTTGTGCTTAATACAATTTTTTTGTCAATTTCTAAACAATTTTGAGTTTGAATTAAACTTATGATATAATTTAAGGGTGTAAATGAAACCGAAATGCCGCTTTCAAATATACAATGTTAAACCAATATGCCAATAAACCAGTAAATAGTAATACGTAAATAATTTTCCTTGTATCAAACCCGCGCACTACCTCACTTCCATAACGCTTACGACCTTGACAATAAACATTATCGCAGGTAATACGAACCATTTCTCTATATCCTTCTAACAACAACCTCACTTTCAACCAACTACTATACATTCCTTTATCAAACACAGCCAACTTACCCTAAAGTTCTTTTCATCCTTGACCGTAGTCTCTCCGTATTGCCATCCATCTCGGCCGTTATATCTGTGTTCCCAAAGCCGGTCTGAGAGCGTCGCCTCGTTCAGCAGCAGACGGACACCCAGCTCTCCCACGTCCTTCCCAGCGCTGCATTAGACGCGAGAAATGGGGTTACGAAAGGTTGAAAAGTGTTTTGTGGATTGGTTGATGAGGTCTTTGATATATGGAAGAGAGAAAGGGGGAGAGGGAGAGGGAGAGGGAGAGGGAGGGAGAGGGAGAGGGAGAGGGAGAGGGAAGGAGGGAGAGGGAGAGGGAGAAGGAGAAGGAGGAGAGGAGAGGGAGAGAGAGAGAGAGAGAGAGAGAGAGAGAGAGAGAGAGAGAGAGAAGAGAGAGAGAGAGAGAGAGAGAGAGAGAGAGAGAGAGAGAGAGAGAGAGAGAGAGAGAGAGAAAGAGAAAGAATGTAATATAAACCACAATGAAATCCCGATAACACGTGAACCCCCGTATAGAACCTACTCGAGGGAATAAAGGTAGAACCAGAAGCGGAAACAGTCGCCGTCACTGGTGGTCGTGTTAATGGGATCCGGATTCTTGTATAAAGCCTTTTCCCCGTCTTGATTTCCCTGCAGGTCCAGATACACGTAATGACCCAGAGGTGTTCCCCAAGAATGATCGACGCTGTAGAAACAAAACAGTCTAAGTAACGGATCTTGGGTTGTTTTTTTAAATATGTCATGTTCTGTATGATTTGTGACGCCCGATGAGGATGTAGGTTCAGAAAATGATAGTAGTAATAATAACGGAAATAATAACAATAGTAATGATATGAAGTGATAATATTAATAACAATATTTTTTTTTTAAATCTAACAGATTATCATTACGCGCTATATATGACCCCATATG